TACCACTTGGCATCTGTATTGCTTGAAATTTAAGACAGCTGCTACAAAGCATGGATAAATTCAATCTGGGTAAATACTTTCCACAGAACACCATCCACCTCAAAGAACTGACAGTCTATAAGCACCTAGAAAAGTACAATGTCCAGAAACAGGACAGCTGCTCTTAGTATGATCGATCACTCACATGTGTTTATGGAGTAACAAGCATCAGATTGCCTTCTAGGGACTGCAGAAGCAGCACACCACTGAGCAGGTGAACATCCCTGCCTTCATGGAGATTGAATCCCAGTGAGGAAGACTCAATGACAATTTCTATGGAGGAAAATTAGGGAGTAGGGAAGGATGTAAAGTACTGGGGGATGGGTGACAGCTATATTAAACTATAGAACACTGGAATAAGGGGTCAGATTGGTGAAACCCTAAAAGTGACAAAAGAGAACATGGAAAGGACAACTCACTGGATCTTTGCGTCCAGAGACAATTCTCACTTTTCAACTAAAGTACACAACTGTTTTGAGGGCTTCTTTTATGTTAATAATGAAAGGGGCATTTCTATCTGGCAAACAGGTGAACACTCTGCTTGGCCTGGGATGAACTGACCTGCTTCTCCCTTAGATATTTCCACATTTGAAGAGGCTCTGAAGAAATGGCCTCATTGGGGCTAGGAAGGTAGCTCGGTGGTAGAGCGCTTGCCTTGCATGCCTGAGGCCCTGGGTTCGATTCCTCAGCACCACATAAGCAAAAAGAAAAAAACCGGAAGTGGCACTGTGGCTCAAGTGGTAGCGCGCTATCCTTGAGCTCAAGAGCTGAGGGACAGCACCCAGGCTCAGAGTTCAGGCCCCACGACCGGACCCAAAAAAAAAAAAAAAAAAAGAAATGGCCTCACATACAAAAGTCAAGGGCCTCATAGCTAAAATATACTTAGAGCTCAAAAAATTAAATCCACCAAAAACAAATCCTCAAAGAAACAACCACCTGATTCATAAGTAGGCTAAAGTCTTAAAGAGAAACTTCACTGAGGAGCAAATAAAAATGGCCAATGGACACATGAAGAAATACTCAACATCTCAGTCCATAAAAGAAGTGTGAATCAAAACCACATTGAGATTCCACCTTATTCCAGTTAGAATGACCATTATCAAGAATCTAGTAACAACAGGTGGGGATGTGGCCAAAAGGGAACCCTACTACACAGAGAGCGGGAATGTAAACTGGTTCAACCACTCTGGAAAGCAGTATGGAGGTTCCTCAAACGACTCCACATAGAGCTCCCCTATGACCCAGCAATCCCACTTCTGGGCATTTATCCAAATGACCACAAACAAGGCCATGCTAAAGCTACCAGCACAACTGTGTTCATTGCAGCATTATTTACCATAGCTAAGATATGGAACCAACCCAGATGCCCCTCAGTAGATGAATGGATCAAGAAAATGTGATATATATATAATGGAATTTTATGCTTCCATCAGAAAGAATGACAGTACTCCACTCATAAGGAAATGGAAGGACTTAGCAAGAATCATATTAAGCGAAATAAGCCAGACCCAAAGAGACATAGGCTCCACGGTTTCCCTCATTTGTAATAATTAGTATATGTTTAAGATAGTCCTACCAGAAGATCACAATAGCTCAATAGGTATGTACATATGACCATATAAAATTATGCTAATCAAAATGAATTCCAAGATATGAAAACAAGAGGTTTTACTTTGTTATTGTTATTTGTTGTTGTTGTTGTTATTTTACATGCACTGTGCAAAGTTATTTCTTTTTTTCTTTCCTTTTCCCTCTTTGGTTCATCCCCTTTTGTCACAGTATTTGATTTTGGTACCCTTTGTCTTGTATATAAGTTTATCTGATTTGGAAAAGGGAAGGGAAACAACAAAATGGTGAGACAAAGGACAAAGGGTGAACCAGTTAACAGTGATAGATAGAAGACAATATGTTGGAAATGAACTTCAGAACTTGGAGGGGGGGAGTTAGAAGGGAAGGAAAATGGGAGAAAAACAAGGAAGGGAGTAACACTGAAAAGAAATGTATTCATGGCCTTATGTATGCAACGGTAACCACTCTGCACATCACTTGACAATAAAATTAAATTTAAAAAAGAAGAAATGACATCCGCTGTAGTTTCATTTGGATGTTATTGTACTTCAAGACAAAACAGGTTTAGTGAAGAGATACATGCACTGTCATGTCCTGTCCATTGTAACATTATTCACCATTCAATCATCAGTATCAAACAACAGCAAAATATGGTATGTGTATGGTATACATACACATTAGAATACTAGTCAGTCTTTAAAAAGAAGGAACAGGCTGGGAAGGTGGCTCAGTGGTAGAGCCCTGGGTTCGATTCCTCAGCACCACATAAGCAAAAAGAAAAAAGCCGGAAGTGGCGCTGTGGCTCAAGTGGTAGAGCGCTAGCCTTGAGGTGAAGAGCTGAGGGACAGCGCCCAGGCTCAGAGTTCAGGCCCCACTACCAGACCCCCCCAAAAAAAACGAAAAAGAAGAAGAAGAAGGAAGTGCTGCCATTTGGAATATCATGGATAAAACTGAAGGATATTAAGTCAAATTAGCCATGCACATAAAGAAAAAATATGCCTGGTCTCATGTAGATGTAGAGTTTAAAAAGAATGAGCTCACAGAAATACAGAGGAAAATGGTGGTTACTGTCAGCTGGTTAAGGGATGAAATGATGATTTGAGAGATGTTGATCAAAGGGAAAAACACAGCACACGTGTTTTTCCTTGACAAATACACTTAAATGAAGTCATTTGAAATAGAACAAAGTATACAATTACAAAAATTACTTATTTTCATCCAAATGTAATTAAGATTATGTCTGAGGGTTCAATTTTTAGATAACTCCTAATAGCAAAAGGGAAACACTTTTTAAATAAGAGGACATGTCTGTTTTGTGGTTTGTTTTGTTTGTTTTTGTTTGTTTTTGTTTGGTGTTTTTGTTTTGGTTGGACAAATTTCCATAAGGGGAAATAACTCTCAGCTGTTCCTTGGAGGCCAAACTGTTTTGGTGGTTTCCTGCTGCAGATTAGGCACAATTCTCCATTGATGGAGCCGAGATTGGTTCCATCACCAAATCCTCTATGCCTGAAGTCATAGTCATGTAAATCTATTTGTTTTTGGACCACTGTAATAATGTCCTTCCTTGGGAAGACCTTTACCTGAGCCATTACAAATTGCATGCTTATTTGAGTAAGGAAAACCTGTTGAATGACTTTTAACATGAATTTTTCAATAGGACACTAATTCCTTACAGTATCCTTACTGGGAATGGTGCTTAGCATGTCTGTGTCTCAGGGGTTTTTTGTTTTGTTTTGTTTTTGTGTTTGTGTTTTGTTTTTAAACTTAGGACACAGATAATGCCTACCTTTCTGTATGTAACCTTGCTTGTGAGAAATATGATCCATGAGGAAGTATCCGTGACTGTAACTCATCACACAATTGCAAAGGTGTCATTGGCAGTGAGGTCAGTCCTTTAGTGCCTCAAATCTCCTGTTTTAAATTCTATTATTAAGGCTTGCATCTTCCAACTACAGGAACTCAAAGGGACCAAAACCTCTAACATTAAACTACAGCGCCCCCTAGCCCCAGTAGGCGGCCAACGCAATTAAACAGTTGCATGAATTAGCTCCACCACAAATGGCTTCTTGTGCTTCAAGCAGGGTCCATTCACTAAACTTTGGAGAGATTTCCGTCTGTCAGACAAGAGAAACACTGAAGTATTTTCCTGTGCATTGCTTGTCTTTTTAACCTCAAGAAAGAAGTATAAAAAGTATACAAAACCTTACTATTTAAACTGTCCTCCAAGTTGATTTAAAGGAAGGGCATTTCTAAAAGAACAGCATTAGATTTATTCCAAGGTTCACTTTGGATCTGATTTTACCAAATTCTTTATAATCCAGTGTGTAAGACAGGAAGGCTGTCGATCAGAGTACTCTTCCCACTCAGAGCAAGTAAGGGGTTAAAGGGTGTTTCTCCCCTCCCCCAAAGATTAAACTGAAAGCTGTTATGATGAGCTACAGCCCCCTAGTTCCAATACCCATGAAAGCCACCAAAAGACACAGACTTGTACGAGGAAATAGTGTGGATTATTGTAATATCTTTATATAGAACTATTTGCTAACACGGCTTATAAAAATCCAGATGAAAAACATACCAGTTGTTCCTGTCCAGAGGTTACCATGTTTTGCTCATCTTCAACTCTTCATAGATATTCTTCAAACCATAGAGCCCATCCAGTAGGTGAATAGCTTCTCCGAGGGCTGAGTCCTTAGGAAGTGGAGCTTGCTGGACGGGTTTATTTTTTTCACGTCGAACAAGTTATCATTTCAGGGCTTTAAGGATTTTTTCCCCCTTGTAAGTGAAGAGCAGCCATTCATGACACCATGGGAGGGCCCAGAGACTTTGCAAACGCTTTGCTTTTCTTGACTGTTCATCTCGATATGGTGGGGCGAGTCGTCTTGTCTTGACATGATGTAAATACAAACGTGTCTCCTCTTTAGGGGGTTCAAGATCATTTCAGCCCCAGAGTTCCGTGCCTTTCCTCCTGAGACAGAAGGAGGTAAATAGGATGGTGTGAAAACGAGACTTGAGGTTTTTGTTAGTTGTCGTTGGCTTGTTTTTTTTTTTTAATCGCGTTGTTTCTTTATCTCTCTTGGTCACACTAACTCAGAAACAATCAAGGATGAATGACTTTGGGTGATCAATCAGATCCTTTCTAAATCGAAACACCTACTACCCTAGAAATAGTTCGTTTGAGTCCCGCTTTTATGCCTGTTTTGAATACCATCACACATCACCCACAATAACATCAACCAACCTCCAACCCCGAGCCCAGGCAGGGCAGGGCAGGCACATAGCATCTCCCCTCTTCTCCCAGTCTCCCCATTTCGGAAGGGGAGGCTGCGATGTGGGAGCGGATGGCCAGCATCCGCAAGAGAGGCGCTAGAAAAGTGCGTCTCATTAATGCCAAGTTGTCCTCCACCAGGTCCCCTCCCGTCCACGGGTGCATTTCCCCTGCCTGGCGGCCGAGTGGATCCCATCCAAGACCCTTCTCTCTTTAAGAGAGGACCCCCCCCACGCCGGCGCCCCTCCCTCCACCCCCCCCTTCCCAAGTCTCTGGGCTCCGTCAAAGCTTCCCGAGAGCCATGGTTGGTCCAAGCCGGCAATCAGAGCACCTCGTGGAGCGGTTGCCAGCCAGGGGGGGTTGGTGGAAGGGGGGAGGGAGGGGGCAGAGCCGGGGTGGGTGGGGGTGTCGGTTCGTAGTACTCCCGGTCCTGATGTCACTGGCGCGGCAAGGACATCGCCAGGAGGAGTCGGATTACAGTAAGGATGGGCAGGGCGGCTGGCGGCGGCCGGGGCGCGCGCTGCAGCCGCCGGGGATCGTAGCGCGCAGAGGCGGGCCGGCGGCAGGCGCGCATCCCGCGGAGAAGGAGGCACGCTCGGCCACCGCGGCCGGCGCTGCTCGGCTCTCCACGCCCTCCGGGAACCGAGACGGCCAGGGGGACCGGGACGTGGCCACCGAGCGGAGCATGAAACGGCTCTGCTCCGCGCGTCAGCCTGGGGTGCCAGCCGATGCTGCACACGCCGCGGTGGGGGTCCAGCTGTCCGATCCATGAGACACATGATGTATTTTGGTGAGTGGTCACTCCGGGGGTGGCACTGGGCGCGGGGGTGCGGTCGAGGGTCCCCGCAGCACCTCCCGCAAGCAGCCAAGCCCTCCACCAATTCTTTGGTGGTGGTGATGGTGGTGGTTGGTGGTGGTGATTGTTATTTCATCTTGAAGCGGCTAGAAATCGATCGCAGGCAAGCCACCTCCACGCACGGGCGGCGGCAGCTCTGCCAGCGAGCAGGGGAGCTGTGAAATTCCCCGTGGACGTGTTGGAAGTTGGAAGAGAGCAAGAGACTGGGGGGGGGGTGAGGGGCTGGATCAACTTTGCCTTGATTTCTAGGCATGAAGTTGGCTTTTTTGTAATTATGATGATTTGTTTGCAAGCTAGAGGAAGAAGACGTGGTGAAGCCAGGGGCTAACTTAACCGGGAGACAAAAGTTCCCGCACTGTTGCTGCCCTAAGCACTAGGACTTTGCCCCCCTAATTCGGAGGCAGAAAGGGCAAACGCTATCCACCGAGCTAGTGAGCAAGTCGCTGGAAATACTCCTTCAGACTGTGTCTCCTCGGCTGGAAGCAGCCTAGCACAGAAATGCATATTCTGTTAAACCTTTAGAGGTCCTCGGGGCTGTTCAATATGTGTGCGGTTGAGTTTTCGTGCGGCGGTGGAGACAGACCTTAGGTTTTGTTGTTTTTTTTTTTTCAACTGAGATGCCTGCGTTTCCAGAAAGCGTGTGGAGGCTCGGGTCTGAGCTCTGAGTTGAGCACCCTAGCGGGCTGAGAGCTGTACATCTATGTACAGTAACTCTGCAACTTACTGCTAAGCAGGAAGGCAAAAACCCTTCACCAAGGAGGAAGAAAACCCCAGGACTAAGACCCCAGATCTTCTCTCCTCCTCTCTGTAGTGATGCTTTCTTTCTGTAAGTGCCATCCGGACATTCTTTAAGAGCATCTATCTGCGGTCGGAAGGTTTGTGGGAGCAATGGAAGGAAAAAGGGGGCTAGGCGGTGATTTTTTTAAAACTAAGATGCAAATGCTCCAAGTGGATTTGGGGGTTGCTTTGGAGATTCAGTCTCGAGTTTTCTGGCAGATCAAATAAATATTCGGATACACTTGGATCGGATACCATTACTAGAGGCGTTTATTTCCTTGTGTGTTGTGCTTTTTCTTTCTTTCTTTCCTTCTTTTTTTTTCCTGAGCCTTTGAAACATTTGAGAAACTAGGAAGGTACCTAATTCGCAGAAGGTAAATGCCTCGGGTTGTCTTGACAGCAGCTTTGATATCCCTATAATTGATGTCATATTAGAAAAGAAGTCTTAAAATAACCCAAGTTGATGCCAGACAATCTTCATTTCATAGCCAAATTGAAGCTGAATGCAGAGTTGAGCAGTATTCTTTCCTGGGAATTAGTGATGGAGGTGGTAAGCTTGTTTATTAGCAACTAATAGAATGTTGTTTATCATGCATGCATTTTTTTTATAAATGAGGAAGTAGGTGAGGATCCTGTCTGGGGGTTAAAATAAATTCCAAAGTCTGAAATGATATTGAGAGGAGGAGATTATAATTCTAGTTTAAGTTCTCAGACTTTTGCAAAAATTCCTTATGAGATTACAGTAAAGAAGTAGATCTTCTCAGAGAAGGAATAGAATCTGCAAGTCCTGGTCAAAGGGCATTCTTGTTATGGTGGATTATTTTTGTGACAATTGGAAAATGTTCCTTGAGCTCACTCCTCTTATTAACTAGAGGCTAGACAAGCTATCTGGTGAAGCAGGGCGATTCACAGGGTAATTGGTCTCATTGTGTAATGCAAGTTTTTAATAGTCCGAATTGAAATGTGATGTCCTACTTATTTCCGTTGAAACTTTACTCTTTGAAAGGCAATGCGGAAGTCACCTTCAGTGTCATGTCCGTGGTTCAGTCTCCCTATAATTCTCACCCTGGAAATGTTTTTTTTCTTTCTATTATTGGAGGAGATGATGTATATTGGAAATGATGTACATTCAGGAATGCTGTTTCTTCCAGGATGTACAGTCCCTCAACTCAAGCTGTTAGACATTCCAACTGTCTCTAATAAAATGTGTGGTGCAAAGAGCTAGGGCAGAAAGAATTGAGCAGAACACCCTTGGCATGTTCAAATTAAATAGCACCTAATGTTTGCCAAGCTCTAAGACCAAGCATGCAGATGTGTGTGCATTCAGATGTGTGCGTTGCATGTGTACGTGTGGTGTGTATTTCTGTGTGAATCTAGTTTTTTTTCTTTAATCTAGTTTGGCTAATTTTTCAAAGCAATGCTTTTACTTTGCAAATTAAGTTGGCCATTGCTCCCTTCATTTTTCAACTGCAAATGGTTTATGAAGTCAGGGAGAACAGGAGCAGGAGGAAAGGGTTGCTGCATTCTTGGGCTTTTCTGGTAATGTGTGGGAAGGGGATGGACATGTCCCCAGCAGGGAGAGATGAAGAGCACGGTGATGCTCTAGTGTGGCGAGGAGACATTGATACAAAAGCAGAACATTTACTTCCCTTCTAACTTAATTTCCCCTGTGTTCCCCTTACACAAGAAGAGTACTTTCCTAAGCAGTCTGTCTAAACAACTATCCTTCTTTGAGACTAGACCCTTAGCCCTGTCCTAGCTCCATTGGAGTCCGATGTGTGTGTACACACACACACACACAGAGGCATGCGCTTGCATGAGTTGAGAGAATACGTGATATTTCCACTGCTTAAGACCAGGTCATGTTTTGAGTGCACCATCTCAGACTTACAAGACTAATGGACCCTTTAAAATGACTTAAGCCTCCTCTTATCTCTTCTGATTTTAATGCAGTGTTTTCAATAATTGTTCCTTGGCACTTGAAGTTCAGTGATTTAAGAGTTTACTGTTCAGTCACCACGGATACTTTTGTTACTTATTCCATCGATCTTGCCTTCATGACTTGGAGTTAAATATGAGATTCATGGATGAGCAAGGAGAGGCAGATGTTCCCAGTCAGCAGCTTGCATGGAATCTCCTGTCCAAGCAAGGAGAAAATAACCCATTCTTGTGCTGTACCCTTCCTTGCCTCTATAAACACTTTATAATGTTAAAAATCACAGATGCCAAGGATGAACAGTCATTAAATAAGAGTAAGGCATCTAGGAGGCTTCTACCTCCATGCAGGAAGAGGAGCTGTGGGTGGTTGTCAACACAGCAGAGAGCCAGCTAAGTTCCATTGGGTAAAGAGGCATGTGTTGGAGGGCAAGTAATTTGCTGAGTGCACCCCTGTTGGATGAAGTCTCTGTATCTGCACATTCTCCGCAACTGAGGGCATCATACTATCTGAATCGTCATCCCTTCCCATCGGGCCTGACCCCTTCCCCTACAGGAAGTACAGAAGGTAGTGGCTGTGGTCATAGTAATGCACAGTTGGCCCAGAACACTCCAGAGAGAAGCTTGTGCCTCACTTCTTACTACCAAGATGGAAAACACAAGGCTGGTTGGATCCAGGAAAGTCTGGTGTGACTCAAAATCAGTATGTTTTCAGACCTAAGTCACCCAAGTAGACAGAATAAGGCTAGAGTTAGCTCTAGGAGAATGTGCCTGAAAGATACAAATACATGAGCAAAGCTAAGCACTGTAATGTTGCTATGACTGGCATATTAATTATAAGCACAGAAAAGGCAAGCAAAATTTAGTATGTGTGATTGAGCCATTCAAGTTCAACTTGGTGCTGTGGACAGCTGTCCACAATTATAAGAGAAGTAGGAAAAAATACTTAATGGTATGGCTATCATAATAAAAAAACAACAACACATCATGAAATAAGCTTTTAATACACTAGCTAGAACAATTCTAATTCAGATTCCCAGGCTCCTGTGTGTGGGAGACACAGGTATATAGTCCTGGGAAGGTCTTTTGGGGGTTTTGGGGGGAGGATGGTTAGAACACTTCAGCATTTTGTACATTTGCCGGTGACTGGGTCACCAGCTTCCACCTCTAATGATGTACACTAGGAAAATAATTAGGCAAGATATGGGAAGATAATATCAGAATACAGCAGAGAGAAATCCTTTCTTTTGTTTGTTCTTTTTTCTCTTTCTTTGTCCCTCTTGCTCTTTCTTTCTCTCTCCCTTTCCCTCTCTCCCTCCTACCCTTTCTCCTTTCCTTCCTTTTTTCCTTCTTTCTTTTTCTCTGTCTTTCTTTCTCTCCATTTTCTCTTTCTCCTTCTCCTTTCTCTCTCCTTCCTTCCTTCCTTCCTTCCTTCCTTCCTTCCTTCCTTCCTTTCCTTTCTTCGTCAATAGTGGGGCTTGAACTCTGAGCCTGTGTGCTTTCCCTTAGCTTTTACACTCAAAGCTAGCACTCTTTTTGTTTGTTTGTTTGTTTGTTTGTTGTCGGTGGTGGAGTGTGAACTCTGGGCCTG